GAGGAGGGAGGGGGGCAGAGGGAAAAGGGGGCAAGAGAGAAAGAACATTGCAAAAAAAAAAAAATGGTTAGGGAAACTCAAATATGGTAAATCAGTGTTAGCTACTCGGATAACAAGCCAAAACATCCAATTTTGCCTCAAAGATCAGGGCATTTGAGAGAAAATGTTCCGCCCCAAGTAAATGGAAAAGATGATCTGATTGTGCGAAGAGAGTCATTTATGGATCGGACTTTCCCTGGGTGCCAGAGCCATGCCAACGGCTCACTGGGGCATAGAAATGATGGAAGGTGCCCACCCCGAAGGGCGCGCGCCCTGATCTGCACGCAGGATGGGCAGGAGGGAGGGCGGCTGGGCCTCACTCCAGCCTCCCCGACACCAGGACTCTGAGGAGTCCATGGCCTCACGGAAAGAGAGTAAGTCCACCGGGCGTCAGGGCCTGGAGCTTTCAGGCGCCTTATCCAAGTGACCCACTGTTGGGGGGGGGGCTGTTGTGAGCAATGTGTTGGGGGGTTTCTTGTTATTGATGATTCTGACTCCCACACTGAAGAGGCCCAGGTCCCCACTGACAGGCCCATGTGTTTGGGACAAGTGAGAAGAACAGGATCGATGGGGGGCAGGGGGGGGATGCCATTCGGTGACTGGGCAGAAGGGGAAAAGACGTGGGGAACGGATGAGTAAGGAAGGCTGGCTGCGTTCATTCCAAAAATCGCTCCTTAATCTCTCAAAGCCTGATTCTTCATCCGTCAGGTTGGAGGAGCGAACACCTATCTCACAGGGCTCTCTACAGACGGACGGAACACGTCCGTCCGCCTCTAGCACAGTGCACGGGCCACGGGAACCGAGCTCTCCTGTAATCACTGTTTTAAGGTCTTTATTGTAAAAGGCGGGTGCAGGTGAAAAGGCGCAGGGGACACTGCAAATCAGAAGGTGAGGCCGACCTAAGAGGCCCGAGTGGCGTGCCAGTGCTGGCCCGGGCACAGGATCTGGCTGGCTGGAACCCACTCGGGGTGGGTTTCCATATATAGCCACCGGGCCGCTGGGCGCCACCCGACACCAGGAATCTGCCACTGACGCTGGACCTGCCTGCGCAGGGGGCACCTTCCCCTTGGCGGAGGCCGCCGGGGCCTGTGGCCTAGCGCGGGTCTGCTGCGCCCCGCGCCCCGCGCCCAGCGCCGCT